GTAAGAAGACCACTGTCAGCCTGACCGCTCAGACCTCAGGTGCCAGTGCCACAGACATTGACTGGGAAGTGGTGTACTCAACAGGGATCCTGACAGAGGACATAGAAACCTATTTTTGATCTCGTTTGAAACCATGCATTTCTTTGGATTATTTTATTTTTGATTAAAAGTTCACCCATGCACCACGGTTCACACTGTGGTCTCATAGGTCGTAGATTGGACCTATGAGGGGAAGAAGCAGGGGCCTTCCTGAAGGTCAGAGGGTGAAGAGGGATGAGCTGGGGAGGGGTTAGAAGAAGGGAGTTGGATCATCTCTGTGTCTCTCACTCCTTCCTGCCACAGAGTTGGGGGCAGTTATTTTTTTCCCTGGGAAATAGATAGAAGGACTAGCAGGCAAGGAGATGCCACTAAGGGACTGCCAGGCCCAGATGCCTTCCCTGGGGACACTGACACCTTCCTCCCCTCACCAGGACTCTCTGTGGCCCTCAGTGCCTGGCCCTCACTTTAGAGTCATTGCACTTCCCTCTTGTGTCATCCCTCAGGTCCCTCACCTCAGATGCCTCAAACCAACCCCTCCACTGGCAGGGGGGACAGTCACTTCTGGACCCATCTTTCATTTTCTGCTGACCTTGTTGAGCACCTGCTGTATGCTGGACAGAAATCCCTTTGAATTCCCAGCGCTTCCCGAGGCCCCGGCTCTCAATGTCTTCAGTATTCTGATGATGGTGTAAGGGTGCACTCAACAGAGAACACATTAGCAGGCAGTGATGTGGATTTCTGGGCTCAGAACAAAGTATAGTTGGGAGGCACCTCCCCAGGTATCTTGGTTTCTTTCCTCAGCATCAAAAGTGTGGGTATGGATCCTTTAGGGAAATACGTGATGTTGAACAAATGGGTGTTGGATATAAATACAGAAGTGAGGTTGGATTCATGGAAAACATAGATTGAGTTAGTGTTGGGCATGTGAATGCTGGAGATACAAAGATGACCAGAAAGGGTCTTCAAGGACCTCTGAGTCTGTGTGTCCTCTAGTATCAGGCATTGAGTGCCCACCACTTTACCCCACTTGGAAAGAAAGCAAAAGCTTCATATGCAACTGAAGCCTTCACAGTTTCATAATATCCTCTCTTTACACACACACACACACACACACACACACACACACACACACACACACACACACACACAGAGGAACCACACCACCAGGACAAAGGTTACTGATCCATTTATATTTCACCAACGTAAGTTTTCTCTCTTTTTTCTTTTCTTTCTTTTATTTTAAAGATATGGGGCACAATTCAGGGTTAGGTATACAAATGTTCATTATGCAGGTACACTTGTTGATGAGGTATGTCCCCCACTTCCCCAGGCAGATTCCTACTACTGCTAATCCCGCCTCCCCGTTCCCTTCCTGGCAGTTTCCCACTACTGCCAATCCCTTTCTTATAGTATTACGATAATTGTTCAAGGTCTGCTTATGAGTGAGAATATGTGATACTCAGTTCTTTGTTTCTGCGAAAGATCACTCAGTATTATAGACTCTAAGTCTTTCCAGGTTGTTGTGAAGTGTAGGTTGTCAGGAGTTCTGACTCACCTCTAGGAGTTCTCTCCCAAGTGTGAGACAGCTGTGGGGGGTACAAACCCCTGGTCCTCCTTGCTGACCTCCACTGGGTATGGAGCTGCACCGAGGCTAGATCTACCCTCCTTATCATGGTCTGTGAGTCAAGGTGGCCCATGTTGCCACTACAGAACACAAATGGCCTTAAATGTTCGATGTAAACCAGATCATACCCTTCTCCTAGACTCTTGTCAGCTTCTCCATTGTCTTCTCTCCAGGCTTCTCTCCTCAGCAAGGGAGCCTCGTCCAGACCCATGGGCCTGTGCAGGGGATGGAGCCCAGTCCCACAGTGCCTCTGCCTCAGGAGCCACAGAGGCTGCTTCACTCCTTCTTTTGCTGTCCTGGTCCTTCTCAGGAGCATATTGAGTCCCAACCTCTAGTCTCCTCCCCGCCAATCCCCCATCTCCTGCGATTGGTGAGCTCTGGCGTGGGCGGCCCTTCCTTTCTGGAATCCTTCCCAGGTTTAGCAGGGGCTTCATGCATGTGGGACTGGAAACAGGCTGCACAATGAACCCCACTTCCTGTGTTTTCCAGCTCTGCTTCTGTCTTTCCTACTTCTACCTCTCTTCCAAAGATCCCTGCTGGATGGAAGAGGAGCGATGGGTGGGGTCGCCATGATGCTGGGGAGAATGGTCACCAGGTGGCTGAGCTGATCCCAGCAGGGGTCCTTGTGATGAACTGGGGGGCGCCACCAGGGAACGCACCTCCCCAGTGCAGAGGCTCAAAAGCACAGCCTTGATGTCTGGCAAATCTCTCCCTCCCTGGGTGTGTATGGGGTTGGCACTCCAGAGACATCTTGTGCAGGAGTCTCGGTGAAAGTGTAAAGGAAGATAAAAAAATCCCAGGACCCCAAAACTTAAACCTGGAGGGTGGGTCATGCAACACTCTCTTATAATGAATAACTATTCCTAATATTATACAACAACTAGGGCCCGGAGAAAGCTAAAGGACCCCAGGCACTTATACAGGGCTGCTCTCAGATCCCTTTAGTAGCCAATTCTTGATGATTTCCCATAAACCAATATGTGCTAACTGTAACTTTAGGTCCATAACGTAAGTCCAGCCACTAAAACTCGTGTCTGCTCGATTCCACATGGGTAATATCGATTAAAAACTTATCTTCCCAGGGCAGAACAATGTAAGACTCATTCCTCTACCTACATTGCATGACTGACTCTGACATCTGCATGACTGAATCTTCCTTTACTCTTGTTTTCTCTTCCAACATTCACCTTATGCTAGGAAAATATAGACTTACTGGGCACTAACTAAAATCTCACAGGAATGTAACCATCGGCCTTACTGCCTACCTGCCCCTCTTCCTATGTGTTTTCTCCCACTTTCAAGAAACATATAAATACTAAACCTCCTAAGATCTCTTTGGAAAAACAGCCACAGACATGTTGTGGCTCCCATTTTTCTCAGACATACCCTTGAGTTTGAGCAGAGAACCATCTTATGGGCCTGCAGCACCCTGTCCCAGCATGCACATAAAGACAAATTTTGAGTTCCCTCAAGGGAAGTTCCAGGTACCTACCAACCCTGAGAAGTCAATGAACCACTTGAGAAACAAGATGGGCATAGTCACTTGAAACAACAGCCAAAAAAAGTCAGAGTCACCAGAATGCTTGGTTCCCTGTAGACACTCAAGTGAACATCTCCACACATGTCCTTGGGTTGTATGTGAGAAACCTGGACCCCTGCCAATGAGATCTGCTGACACATAGACCTCGGATGAGGGGAACTGAGGGTTAAACTCATACCACTGTTCTTGGTTCTCAATTTCTTCCTGCGGGATCATGAGGCAGTCAAGTCCGTGAGCCAGAGCTAAGATTCTTTTCTACTCATCACAGAGTTTTAGACGTTTCTCCTCTTTAATCAATCAAACATCAGAACATTTTTGAATTCACCTGTGACCTGTAGGTCCCCCTTTCAGATGCCTCTCCTTCTTAAGTAGATCAAGGCATATCCTCCAAGGATAGATGTGGAGTAAGAAGACTGCAACCTCTGTCCCCTCACCTTTAAAAACCTTTACTTGGGAGCCTTTGGGGAGTTTGGGTCTTAACCCTGAGCAATCAATCTCTGGGCTTGGTGCCCTGCAGTAAGTGCTTCACTTCCTCTCCCTGCCATCCCAAATCAGTGTTTGGCTTTGTGATGCCAAGAGGGCAGACCCCAGTTTTGTTCGACAACACCCTAAAGGTGGCTTAATAAGCCTTGATGATAGACTTTTGCCTCAGTCCCTTGTTTTTGTTATCAAAGACTAGAGGGGAGGAGGAGCTGTGTCCAAGCAGGAGAAGCCCTGGAGGAATTTCAGCTTCTGTCTCTGGGTCCAGATGAGGAAATGTCCCCCAGACTCCTCCTTCCTCTGCCTGTCCTCTCTGCGACTTCATGGGATTGATTGCTCCAGACTCTGGCGTGGACTTAGAAGAACCTGTTTCCCCAGGAAAGAATCCCACATACTCTCAAGATTAAAAAGAAACAGTAGATGTGAGGATTGGGAAATGTCTCTGTGCATGGGCCTTGAGGACTCTTGGCTGAAGGGGACTCTGGTCACTGAGAAGGTTCTGGATGTGTGACCAGGCAGGGGAGGGCTGAGGGCAATGGACCCAGCACCCAGGGCTAGGAAAGGGCATCTTCAGGGAGTAAGAAGGTAAACACTGTTTTCTGCTTTCTGTGAGTCAAATGATTCTTCCCTCTGGGAGTTTTCTTCTTGTGGGTTCCCAGTCCCTGTTCCTTCTTTTCTCCTTCTTTGCCCCTGAGGTCAGTCTCCCTTTTGGATCCTGTCTTCCTTTCTGCCCCAGCAAACCTCTATAACAAGAGATGACCTATCCCATCCACTCTATTATCTACTCCTTTTACTCCTAGAGAGACTGATAGTGACCTAGCTTTCTTTGGAGTGATTCTAAGTGCTGGACCAGATTCCGAGGCCGAGAAAGGGTGTCAATTTAATATGCTTCCAAGTAAGGTCTTTCTGTGTTCAGGATCCAGGAGTGTTGGGATAGGAGATGTGGAGAGACAGTTGTGAGCACTGTACTTAGATAATAGTAGTGTGTGTTATGGTGTGTGTGGGGGCACATGTGTGTGCACCTCAGTGTACCCGTGTGTGCACAGCAAGGCAGATAAATCAGGGGTCAAGGGATGCATGCTGAGTGTTGATAGGTTTCTGCTGGGCAGGACATGAGATTTTCATGGTACTTGCCTAAGCAGTTCAAAGAGCAGAGAGGTGGGGCAAAAATAAAAAATGTTGCAGAAAAGCAATGATTTGGAAGGTGTGGAGGCTTAGCTGCCACTACACACCTCTGTGTATTCAAGTCTTCCTGTCTGAACAGGGGTCAGAGTCTCTTTCCATCCCCGGCTGTGTGTGTCTGTCCTCTACAAAGCCATGTGGCTCTACCTGGCGGCCCTCCTGGGCTTGTTCTACCTTGTGCGCTGGTACCGGGAGAGGCAGGTGGTGAGCCACCTCCCAGACAAGTACGTGTTCATCACGGGCTGTGACTCAGGCTTTGGGAACCTGCTGGCCAGACAGCTGGACGCGTGAGGCTTGAGGGTACTGGCTGCATGTCTGATGGAGAAGGGGGAGCAGCTGAGGGGCCAGACGTCAGACAGGCTGGAGATGGTGACCCTGGATGTCACCAAGACAGAGAGCATCGCTGCAGCTGCCCAGTGGGTGAAGAAGCGTGTGGAGAACAGAGGTATACCCAAGTTTCTCAAGTATGTTTGTTCTTCCTTCTGTGTGGAGGGGATGCATCCTGCCTGCTCCCCGGGAAGATTCCCAGAGTGTCTTTAGGTTAAGTAACAATTGCGGTCTAGTATTTCTTGCCCAACAGGCCAGCTTGAACACCTTCTCTTTATATTCCCTGGCCCGTCCTGTGCTTGGAGCACTCTGGTCTTGGAGGGAATGTGCCCAGCTAAGAATCTGCTCTCCAGAATTCTTCTGTATGGTCTCCCTTCCTTTGTAAGTAGATGTTCTGGATTCCATGATGCCGAGTAGCCTGGCTTAGAGATCTGGTCACTTTCTGATGGGTTTTGGAAGAGGAGGAAGTGGGTGGCGGGTGTGCATGGGCTATGGGCTAGGGAGCAGAGCCCATGTTCTCAGAACTTCAGCTTGTTCCTACCCTCGTCCTCCATCACCCTCCACCCAAAGCAAAGACCCTCCCCATTTTCAGAGGAGGACACCAGTGTAAGGACTGATATAGGAAGGCAAAACAAGTACCTTTTCTTTCCATTTTCTTTTAACTACACTACTTTGTCTGTCTTAGGAGAGGAAGAAAATAACATTTGTTTTATTTATCTAAGAATAAATGTACTACGTGATGATTGCGGAAAATGATGACAAGTTGAATCATTAAAAACAAAATTCAGCCGGGCTCGGTGGCTCAGCCTGTAATCCCCCGCTTTGGGAGGCCGAGGTGAGTAGATTGCCTGAGCCCGCGGGTTTGAGACCCACCTGGGCAACTTGGTGAGACCTCATCTCTACAATTAAAAAAAAATTAGCCGGGCATGGTAGCGCACTCCTGTAGTTCCAGCTACTTAGAAGACTGAGGCAGAAGGATCGCTGGAGCCCAGCAGGTTGAGGCTGCAGTGACTGGGAGCGTGCCACTGCACTCCAGTTTGGGCGATAGAGTGAGACTCCAACTCAAAACAAAAAAACAAAACAAACCTCCCCCCCAAAAAAAACCACAAAATTCATCCTTAAATTGCCAATCCACACATAAAAACTTTTTGCATTTTTATAAGATTAGGGTTTTTCTGTATAGTTTATGTAACATTTTCTTATCTCAAGGGAGATATTCTTTTATTCAACATATCTGAAAAAGTTTTAAGATATAGTATTTAATGATTTAGAATACTGTCCTTGACACAGCAGTACTTATGGAGGGTGGCCTTTGGGTCTGTTGGGCGAAGAGGGTGACATTTCTAGGTCAGAGAGTAAAGTCTGTATAAAAGGGAGGAGGATAAGGCTGACATGTCTCCTTCCAAAAGAGCATCCATTGGATTCTCAAGGGCTTTCTCTGGAAATTTTACTCAATATTGATATAGGATAATTCAAAGTCATCTCCTGATGTCATATACAGGACTGTATTCCAGTCCTACCAAAGCTAAAATTTCACATCCCTCTTTCCCATCAGAGTGGACCTAGATATTAACCTTGTCTTTTTTATTCTTATGTCTTTTTCTCTTCCCTCACTTCCTCATTCTTCCTGTCTCCTGTCTTTCTTATTTCATCAACAGATCGTTGTTGAACACTCACTGTATAAGGCGTCCAGAAAATCTGAAAATGCAAGTGAATGTTGCTAACATCTGCAAAGAAAAAAATTAATATGTAACTAACCAGCATTGTTTCTATGTTTCCAGAGTATTAAGTGGCTGGGCTCCAAGGAATTCAAGGAGGGAGGCTCGGGTTCTGTCCACTCGCTGCAGGGTGTGCAGCTCCCAGCCCTGCAGACCCGGTGTTGTCTCTGTTCTACCTCTTCCCCATCCCAGACCTATCATGAGGCCCTCCCTCTCCTGGGGTGTGCACTTGTGCCCTAACGAGTCCTCACTGCACAGGCGCAACACACTGTTGCTCTCTCATCTTCCCACTGTCCAGGACTCTGGGGCCTGGTCAATAATGCCAGCATCTCTGTGTCCATGGGCCCCAATGAGTGGCTGACCAAAGAGGACTTTGTGACCATCTTGGATGTGAACCTGCTGGGGCTGACTCTGGGCTTGCTGCCCTTAGTGAGGAAGGCGAGGGGCCGCGTGGTCAATGTCTCCAGCATCATAGGCCGGGTGTCACTTTGTGGTGGGGGCTATAGCATTTCCAGGTATAGAGTGGAGGCCTTCTCAGACTCCCTCGGGTATTGGCCTAGGATAGGGCCCTTCCTATGTCCTTCTGTTTGTATTCTTCTGAGGAAGGCTTTTCATGGGGTTCACATAATCAGAGCCTTTGAAAACCCTGATAGAGATCTTTCTCTGACTTGATTTGTGACCTCCCTCATCTTTCTCTTTCTGGATGTGGCTGGCCATTCACCTCTTTCTGGATGTGGCCAGCCACTTTCGCGAGTGTACCTGGGTTCTGCTTCAGCATGTGTGTGTTTAGTTAATCTTTTCTCTGTCCTGTATGAAACCTTCAGTCAGAAACTGAGCAGAATTGGACTCGTATAGTTTGTCTCCAGAGTCTGCTAAGCAGAACATGGTGCTCATGTTACCAGTCCCAGGGGTAGAACACTGTACTCAGTAGCACTCTAGGGGTAGTACTTTTATGAGACTGACGACCTTCAGATTATGTAGGGGTAGTACTTTTAGTGGACTTTAAACACTTCTTCCCAATGTGCCTTGGTATCAGTCTTACCAGCAGAAACCACACAGTCAGTTCTATATGAAACAAGGCTTTCCTTGGGTCCAGAAGAAACAGATCAAGACCAGCTACAACAGTGTGCCTTGGTTTCCATGGCCAGGGAGTATCTCCAGGCAGCTGAGACCTGGACTTGGCATGGTCACTCCCTTTTCTTTCTGCATAGAAGGACCTGTCCCCTCCTCTCTGGAAATCTAAAATACTAAAAGCTGGGCCATGCCTTAGGGCCATGGACACACACATGCTGAAGCAGAACCCAGGTACACTCACCAAGCCCGGCCAGGAAAGTCATTCCCACATGAGAAATGTCCAGGCTTGTGGGCTCCTTCTCTAGGGAAGTAGTATTCCTGACCACAGGGTCATCCTTATGTGACTGAGCAGAAGACTAAAGCCAGCATGCAAGGACCACCTTTTCCGGCAGAGCCCATGTTCATAACCATAATGATATTCAGTTGCAGGGAGCCTTAGAGGGCTTGGGGAGAGCAACTGACTCAATAACACACACATGGTTTTAGCACTTGTACAAGTGCCCAAGAAATGTGACCTAGCGTGACAACCAAGAGAGAGGAAAAGGAATCCATAATATTTGTTGCCAGACCTTATAGGGGTGAGACCAAATCAGCCACGGTGGCCATGGCAGCCACCCGACTTGGAGAGAGAGGGTCCTGGAGATTAGGTGTGAGCTGAGAAGTGATGAGCTGTAACTGACAGCCTGGTAGGGAAGGTGGAAAGGGCTCCTGGATGAGGGAGTGGCGTCAGCCTAGGCCAGGGTGAGTATGAGCCAACCACCTGTACTGTGGGATCCTCCTGGAATAAAGGACAAGGTCATACACGGGGGAGATGCTCGGCAGGTGGGCACATAGGGCTCACGGAGGGTCTGTGGACCCTGGAAAGGTGTTGCCCTTCATAGTCTTGACAGTGGAACTCCATGGAAGGGATTTACTCAGGGCAGCCACTTGGTCTTATAGGCATCTAGACAACCACTGTCTGCAGGGAACAGCATGGCAGTGAGTGTGGAAAGCTAAGACTAGGGCAGAGGGTCCTTCTCAAAGGATGATTGCAATTACCCAGTTCAGAGATGCCCAGGAAATTTCCTGGGTTGGGAGATGAGGGAGGGAACTGAGAAGTGCAAAGGAGGTGAAATGGGTAAATCCTGGTCATCCACTGAATATGAGGAGTAGGCAGAGATTGCACTGAAGTGGAGTCTTTCCAGAAAATACATAGGATTTAGAGATAGTGAGTCCAGTGTAGAAAACATGAAAGCCCTTTATAGAGATGCTACCATCATAATTTTTACCCCTAGAACGTTGTACATTATAAATCCCAATTTTGTGGCTTATCTTCTGTTGTGGTGTTTTGTTTTAGTTTTTATTGTTTTTATTTTGCCTATCAAGACCTATCACGTTTTCCCTCTGACTCTGTGCCTTGCAGGAGGGAGCTCGCCTACTTTGGCGTGAAGGTGGCCATCACTGAGCCCGGTTGCTTCCAGACGGGCATGACCAATAAGGATAGCATCCAAAAGATGCATCTGAAGATATGGGACCGAGCCAGTCCAGAAGTCCAGCACCTCTATGGCGAGACGTTTCTGGCATCCAGTGAGTGAGCTATGGACAGCGGGGAGAGAAGCACACCCTTATCAGCCATCCTTGGTCAATGATTAGTGCCTCCACTAGTATTAGGGCTTGTCCTTCAGACTCTGCCTTCCCCACCGAGTTGGGACCTTTAGCTGCACTCTCATGGTAGGTGCAGGGTGGTAAACTGGTTATGTCCAACAAGTTTCCAGGCTTATTAGAACTTGGGACCCATGTCTATCTCTATCCTCATTATTTTGAGGGGCAAAGTGAAGTCAGGGGAAGACACCCATGGACTTATGGGAAGCTGGCTATACAGACAGATGGTTGCATGTACTTAGATTTTGAGTGTGCGTAGAGACTTTCAATTTGTTGAGTCCAGATGTCCCAGGGAGAGTGCCAGACGTGCCTCAGTGTAAAAATAGTTTTCCTTACCAGGGTGAATTCTCCTCAGGGAATTTGAGTGAATTCGATTTGGGGCATTGCTTTGGTGGAAGGGAGGAAAAAGTTCTTAGACATTTTCTATTCTAAGTTGACCCCAAAGTAGGACTGCTTGTAGGTGGAAGTAAGCATGGCTAGCTTCTCATTCCTAACAGAGATGAAAAGAACTGAAAAAACGGAGAAAAAGTGCACAGAGGATCTGTCCTTGGTGACGAACTGCATGGAGCATGCTCTGACTGCCTGCCACCCCCGCACGCGCTACTCCACAGGCTGGGACGCCAAACTTCTCTACCTCCCTATGAACTACATGTCCACATTTTTGTTGGATGTCATGCACCACTGGGGCTCTACAAGGCCGGCCAAGGCCCTGTGAAGCCAAGACCAGGTGCATGGTAGGGGTGAGTGCTGTGTAAGGGGTCATCTGTTATGAGGAGACACATGAGGGTGGAGAGAGGCAGCTCTTAAGTCAGCAGGGCACCTGCCCCACCTTCACCCTTATCCCCTGTACAGGATTGCGCTGAGATATTACTCTGGATTCTGACAATATTAGGTGGAAAGAACCAAGATATTCTGCTTAAGAATGGGGACCCAAGAGTACTCATGGCTCCCTGTTTTCTTAGGCAACCACTCAAGTTTTAAGTGTCTCAGCCAATTCTGAGGAATCCATACAACTGGAGATGGTGTGAGCAGGTTAAAGGATCCTTAGGTCACTCCACACCGTCCCTGCTTCCTACCTGCCTCCTGGGGGGTGTGTGCATTGCCTGGGCCAGTCTACACCTCCCACTGGATGGAAATGACCTGGGAGAAGCAGAATCTCCCCCTCTCAGATGCCCTGGGTGGGATGAGAAGACCACCATCAGCCAGACTCCTCAGATCTCAGGTGCCAGCTCCGCAGGCATTGACTGAGAGGTGGTGTCCTCAACAGGGATCCTGACAGAGGACTCAGAAACCAACCATTGATTTCTCTTGAAGCCATGGATTTCTTTGGATTATTTTTGTTTTAGAATAAAATTTCACCTATGCACCTGGTTTAAACGGTGGCTTTCAGAAAAGGTGAGGTGTGGACCTATGGAAAGAGGCAACAGGTGCCTTCATGGAGGTCAGTGGTTGACAGGGAAGAGCAGGGGAGGGATTTGAAGAGTGAAGTTGGATTACCTCTGCCCTCTCTCAACACATCCTGCCACAGAGGTGATGGTAATTTTTCCCCTTCCAGGGTTTATTAAGTATCCTGGGGCCTCAAGAATAGACAGAAGGAGAAGCAGGCAAGAAGCCACCAATATTGTGCTGGCAGGTCCCAGATACCTTCCTTGGGAACTCTGATGTCGTCCTCCCCTCACCAGCACCCTCTCTGTGGTCCTCAGTGCCTGGCCCTCACTTTAAAGGAACTATGCTTCCCTCTTGGCCCATCCCTCAGGTCTCCCACATAAGAAGGCCAACACCTACCCCTCCTTTGGCAGTGAGTGACGGTCACTTTCAGATCCATCATTCATTGACTGTTCACCTTGTTGAACACCTGCTGTATGCTGGGCAATTTTTTCACAGACATTCTTTTGAATTCTCAGTGCTTCCTGCTACCCTGGTGCTCAATATCAATAGTATTCTGATGATGGTGTAAGTGTGCATTCAACAGAGAACACATTAGGACGTGTGATGCACATTCCTGGGCTCAGTACAAAGTACAATTGGAAGGCATCTTCCCAGGTATCTTGGTTTTCTTCCTATGGGACAAAAATCAAGGATACGAATCCTTTGAGTGTCCTTTTGTTGTACAAATCCGTCTTCATTTTCAAAGGACAAACTGAGGCAAGATGTTTCCAATCCATTCCATTTAAAACATGAAGTGAGTGCTCATGTTTGGCATGTGAAAAATGGAGTTACAAAGATGACCAGAAGGGCCTTCAAGGAGCTCCAAGTCCCTGGATGTTGCAGTACCAGCCCACTCCAGGTCAATCCATGCTGTCCCCTCAAGGTAATGCAAGAACTTCCTATTTATTCTGAAGCTTCCACACTTTTCTTTCACCTTCTTGACATACATTCACAACTGTGTGGGTATAAGTACAGAAACGTCCCACAAAGTCAATCACATACAAAGAAACAAAGTTGACATAAAAGATTATGAACTCAGTTTATATCCCACTGTGGTAGGTATTCTTGAGGTTTGACTCACCCCCAGGAGTCCTCTCCTGAGGGCAAGACAGCTGTGAGTTTTCACACTCCTGTCTTTCCATGCTGGGCCCCTTTGGGGCATAGAGCTGCGCCAAGGATGGATCTATCCTCCTCATCTTGGTCTGTGAGTCAGGGGGTCAGCGTTGCCAACATAGAACATAAATTGCCATAAAATGTTCAGTCCACAATCTTACTCCTGACCTTAGGAAATTCCTCCCCAACCCCATCCTCCTTCCAAGTTTCTTTCCTCAGTGAGAGATCTTGGTCCAGACTGATGGGTCTGTGCAGAGCCCGGAACCCAGTCCCACAGAGTCCATGGGAGCCCCAGAAACTGCCTTCATTCCTCTCTGTTGTCTGGTCCTCTGAGGAGCACAGGGTCATTGAGTCCTAATCTCAAGTCTCGTCCCCTCCAAAGCTTTCCAACAACTGCAGTGTGTGAGTGGTCCTTCCATTCTGGAATCCAACTCTAGGCTTAGTAGGGGCAGCATGTCTGTGGGGCCTTGAAACAAGTTGCACAATAAACTCCACTTTCTGTGACTTCCAGTTTTCTTTTCCTTTCCTACACCTGCCCCTTTCTGGAAGACTCATGCTGGATGGAGAAGGGTGAATTAGTGAAGCCCCCATGATACTGGGGAGAGAGCCCGCAGGGTGGCTGAGCTGGTCTCCCCTGGAACACTGGTTGAAGTAGGCATTTCTGGAGAGAGTAGCCAAGGTGCCATTAGGGGGTCCATGTCCATCAGAGGTAGTGGGAATTCATAAGTGCAGCCCTATAGCTTGCTCAAGTTTTCCCTTCTGGGGAGTGCCTGGGGTAATCACTGTAAGGACATCTCCTGCAGGAGTCTCAGGGGAAGGTGGAAAGAAAAATAATCTTGAGACCCCCACTGTTAAGCCTGGAGAAGAGTTGTGCAACACTCTCTTACAAATGAATATCCAGATCAGTGCTACCTCTGCCTGATCACTTCAGTAACTTGTTGGGGGGAGGGATGGTTTTGATTGTGACTGACTCCACTCCTATCATGTGTGGACAAAGGAGGGAATAGGGATCCAACTCATTTGAGTTCCTTACAGGTTCTGGATATTAGCCCTTTGTTGGATTCATAGTTTGAAAACATTTTCTCCCAGTCAGTGGGTTACCTATTGACTCTGTTGACAGTTTCTTTTGCTGTACAGGAGCTCTAGTTTGATTAGGTCTCACTTATCAATTTTGTTGCATTTGCTTTTGAGGACTAGATCATGAATTCATTGCCTAGGCCAATGTCCAGAAGAATAATTCCTAGGCTTTCTTCTAAGATTTTTATAGTCACTAAATGTAATCCACCACATAAAAAGAAGTGAAAACAAAGACTACATGATTTTTTCAATAGACATAGAAAAAACATTTGATAGGATCCCACATTCCTGCATGATAAAAAATCTCAACCATCTAGGAATTGAAGGACCATTCCTCAAAATAATTAGAACCACATTTTTCTTTTTTTTGAGTTGGAGTCTCACTCTGTTGCCCAGACTGGAGTGCAGTGGCATGCTCCCGGCCGCTGCAACCTCGACCTGCTGGGCTCCGGCGATCCTTCAGCCTCAGCCTTCCAAGTAGCTGGAACTACAGGTGTGCACTACCATGCCCAGCTAATTTTTTTGATTTATTGTAGAGCGTGGGATTGCAGGCTGAGCCACCAAGCCCGGCCAGAACCACATTTTGCAAACTCACAGCCAACATCCTACGTAATGGGCAGAAATTGGAAGCATTCCCCCTAAGAATTGGAACAAGACAAAGTTTCCTACTCTCACCACTTCTATTTAACATAGTACTGGAAGTCCTAACCAGAGAAATCAGGCAAGATAAAGTAAGAAAAAGTATCCTAGCCGGGCTTGGTGGCTCAGCCTGTAATCCCGCGCCTTTGGGAGGCTGAGGTGAGTGGATTGCCTGAGCCCGCGGGTTCGAGACCCGCCTGGGCAGCGAGACCTCATCTCTACAATAAATCAAAAAATCAACCTGGTGTGGTAGCGCATGCCTGTAATTCCGGCTACTTGGAAGGCTGAGGCGGAAGGATTGCCGGAGCCCAGCAGGTCGAGGCTGCGGTGGCCGGGAGCGGTCACTGCACTCCAGTCTGGGTGACAGAGTGAGACTCCAACTCAAAAAAAAAAAAAGAAAAGGTATCCAAATTGAAAAGAGGATGTTAAATGATCTCTCTTCACAGATTGTATGATGCTATACATAAAAAACCTTAAAGCAAGGCCCTCAAACTTTTTGGCATTAGGGAACAGTTTTGTAGAAGACAGTTTTTCTATGAACTGGGGGGCAGGGGAGTCATTAGGTATTAGCTTCTCATAAGGAGGATACAACCTAGATCAGATCACTTGCATGCGCGGTTCACAATAGGGTACATGCTCCTAAGAGAATCTAATGGTGTCACTGATCTGAAGGAGATGGAGCTCCACTCACCTACCTCTCACATCCTGCTATGCAGCCTGGTTCCTAAAAGACCCCCATCCTAAAAAGTTCACCAAAAGACTCCTAGCACTCATAAAGTACTTCAGTTAAGTATCATAATACAAAAACAATTTTCAAAAATATGTTGAATTCTATACACCAACAAAAAAACAGGATGAGAAACAAATCAAGAACACAATTCCATTCATATTAGCTGCAAAAAAAGAATTACATGCCTCATAATATATCTAGCCAAAGAGATGAAGGATCTCTACAGTGAGAACTACAAAACACTGTTGAGATAAATAAAATATGACACAAAACTAATGCAATAACATCCCATGCTTTTTGATCAACAGAATCAATATTGTTAAAATGTCCATACTGCCTACAACAATCTACAGATTCGATAAAACCCCTATCAAACTCCCAGCATCCCTTTTAACAGATCTACAAAAGGCAATACTTAAATTCATATGGAAGTGGAAAAAGAGCCCAAATAGCCAAGCAATTCTAAAGAAAAAGAACAAAATCCAATGTATCATATCACCAGAATTCAAACTGTAAGCAAAACAGCATGGTACTGGTACAAAAATAGACACATAAACCAATGGGACAAAACAAAATAAAATCACTATCTTGCCACCAACTCATCCTTGACAAAGTTGACAAAAACAAACACTGGGGAAAGGATACCCTATTTACCAAATGGTGCTGGTAAAATTGGGTAACCATAGGTAGAAAAATGAATCTGAACTCCTTTCTCTCACCTTATAAAA